TGCTCCCCCCAGAGTGTCTGGGGGTCTCTTGGGGACAGCTGGGAAGTCTCTGGGGACGGACATGTTCAGCCTCTGTGGCCAGGAACCTGCTGGAACAGGCAGGGCAGGTGTTGGAAATGGCCTTGCCAGCTTCTCTGCCCCTGCTGGTTCTGCAGGGACCCTCCCCACGGTCTGGGCTCTGGGGGAACACTGCCAGCAGCCCTTGCCCCGATACTGAGACCCCCGGGAGATATCAGTCCCGTCCCCATGCCCCCAATTCACATTCTTCCTGCATGTGTGAAAGACAGCTTCTATTCTGTGAGAAGGTCCAAGGCAGCAGAGTTTCCCAGACAGGCACCAGGGAGGGAGGGTTTTTGGAGCAGTCACTGCATCTCCTGACTCCCAGCTCAGGCCAAGCCGGCACCCTCCCCACGGCCCCAGAGCTCAGCTGCCAACACGGCTGCCCTGCTCGCCATCTCCGCGCTCTCTGACAGCATCGTGAGGCCCCCGAGCAGCAGGGAGAGCAGCTTGGATATGTCAGGAACCTCAAGGCTTTGCACTGCTGAGTGAATTCCTCTTTCTCATTGTCAGAGGCCAGCAGCTGACAGGAATCCAGCAGTGAGCTCCCAGGAGAGCCGGCAGGACTGCCCACCCTGAGCAGCTCCTGGTCCACAGCAGCAGCTGAGGGCACTGACACTGGGGCTTCTCCTGCTGACTCACAGCCAAGGCGCTGGGACAGGTGTCCTTAGCATGGAAGAGCCCTTTGTGCCAGAGCTGGATGTGCATATCCTTCAGAACCATCTCCAGAGTCTGGGGCATGGAGAACATGTGCTCCCACAGTCTGAGGCTGTCCCTGCAAGGGGGTGTCCTGCAGCATTCCTCAGGTCTGGCAGCCAGGGAGTCTCAGGATCCCTCTGCCCACAGGGAACAAGCCCTTTGGGGCTGATAGCTCTAATGTGGTGCCACAAAGGTCAACATGCTGTGGGCCAGTTTCCCGGGGTACTCGTGAGCCAGCATTACAGGCAGATCAACCAGGCTCTCCGCAGCTGACACTGCGTTGGTGTGCTCCCAAGTTTTCCTGGCTGCTGTTCACAATTTGTGGGACCTGGAGGGGCCACAGGTGAGGGTGGTGCAGCCACTGGAGTGCAGCCTTGTCCTCAGCTGCCCTTCTCTCTGCTGCTGTAAGGTGATTCCAGGTGCACCTGGAATCAGGCGAGACAGGCTAGGCTCATGGGCACACGGCACTGGCCCTGCAGAGACCCAGGGCTTGCTGCTGGGCAGGACTGGAGCTCGGGGACAGCAGGAATGCTCTCCTCCAGGGACAGCCCTGCTCTTTTTACATTGCGGTGGGTGAGAGTTCCTCTGTGGGGGTGACACAGGTGACATATAGGACAGGGAGAAAGCCACCCCCATGTCCAGTGGCCCTGTGCACGACACTACCCAGCAGGGTAGGGGTGAGGTGTGTGTGTAAAATTTGGGGTTCCCTAAACCCTTTGGGCCTACCCCATAGCCATCCCCTCTCCAAGACCTGCTGGAGAAGGTTGGCTTTCCAGCCCTACTACTATTCCTGGATGTGCAAACAGAACAAAAAGAGTTGTGCTTAATAATTATTTAATAGTTGATAACGACAATCTTCCAGATATGGGTGAGTGAAAACGAGACATTTCCACTCCAGAAAGAGCACTAAACTATTTTTCAGAGGAGCAGCTCTGAAAGTTAAAACCCTCCAGAGCCCCAAACTCTCCAGATATCTGTAAAAACAGAGGAGAGTCTCTTTGACTGGCAAGAAAGCAGAATATGTGAAAGACAAGCAGGCTGCTAAAATCTGGTTTTCTGAAATTCTGTATTATACTTGTCCAGAGATGTGGAGCACGTCAGCTTCACAAGCACTCACTTTAACTCAGAGAACCTGGGAAACTCACCATGCCTGCTGTTACCTGTCACATGCCAGAATAGACTTAGGGCGAGTGTTTAATTTTCTTTAAGATGTTTAATTTTGCACTGACTCACACAACAGGTTTTCTTTTCTCCACTGCCTCTAAGGGGACAAGGACCTGTGAACTAAGAGTTGTGATTAATCTGACAAGTTCATATGATTAGCCTTTGAAAACAAAGCTGACAGTTTCATAAAATTAATTACAAAGTCTCAGAAGATGGCAATAATTGAGGCATTCTCCAACCATGCACTTACAATGTGAATTATTGTCCTGTCACAGGACCAGCCACAGCAATGCACTCTCATGTACTAGTAGGGTTAATACCTCAAACTTCATGGCAAAATCTTTTCTACCAAAAACTAGCACTTCTGTACAAGCATAAGCCATCTGTGCTGAGAACTGGGTTCTTTAGCCAGGAGATTCTGTATTTACAATCTGGTTTGTAGTCCGTTCTGCAGAAATGCAACTTTACCAGTTTTGCATGGTCTTTTTTAAAGTAAGCCTAACCTGACCTTCATGTGGAACTGTGCAATTATGAATTCCTGCTTCTCCTTTACCTTCCACAGTTTCTCTCTCTCTCTCTCTCTCTTTTGTGGTTTTGCAATCGCTGTGGGGAGCGATTTCAACCACAGCAAACAGCCGTATCGCTGCTTTTCCCCTGTGGGCAGCTCTGCAGTGCGGGTAGGCAACTCCCTGGGCTGTTCTCAGCCAAAACCAAGCACCACCCCTTGTGTTTATCCTTTCAAACACTGCATGGCTCAGCATCTGCCTCAGCAAGGCAAGCTGGACAGTGGTGGTTTAAATGTTTTAGATGACGAAGACCAGCGCAGTGCAGTTCTCGTGGTGGTTCTCTTTGCTTCTGTTCCTCCTGCTCTGCTTTCCCTGCCCCTGCACTCCTTGCTTTTCCAGCCTGTCACAAGCACATGCTGTGTGTCCACGTCCCAGACGTGTTTATTCATCCTGTTTTGGGTTCTCCTGGAGAAAGAGGTCCCGCAGAACACTAAACATAGTTTTCAAATGAAGTTTTCAGTGTGAAAGATTGAGCAGAAATGAAAAACAGATTTTCCATTCTACCTGAGACAGCAGTTAAAAAAAAAAAAAATGCAGTAATGTAATTTGCTTATTTTCATTTCATATACTCATTTAGCTCAAAAAATACTGATAGCTCTGTTTGAATCCTGGTAATAGTGCTAAATTAACATTTTTAAAGTATTTTTTTGGGAAAGGCTTCAAGTTCTGCATGAGGGAACCTATAAAGTGCAGTGTAGTCATACTTAAGTTATTGCTATACAGAGCAGCAATTAGAATTTGCACAGGGACCATGCAGCAGTCACAGTTATCATTTTCATATCATTGAAGCCAAAAAACCAGGGAGGAGCATTACTATTACCCCATCTGCTCATGTGAGGAGTGTCCAAATTTTGCTCTCTTTCTAAACAGCTGCAGACACCCCTGTGCTCTCTCCTCCTGCCATGGCTGTTACAGAAAAAAAAACATTTCTATTCATTTCTTGTTGTTTTTCTTGGTTTCTTGAAAGCCCAGACAGAAGCAAATTCTCTTTTTTAGCAGACATTCCGCAGGTGGAAACAAACAATATTTTCTCATAAGTACTCGGGTTAGATAATATAAAGTATAATATTTTAAAATTATTTCTTTAAGTTCTTCTTTAGGAGAATAGTATCTGACTCACTGAGACTCAGACTATGGACATACATGCAGAATGTATTCACTATGATTCTTGTTCACTTTAAAATCAAATATAGTATAAATTCAAATTATTATATATATGTAAAATCTAAGCAATACAAAGTTGGCAACAGCAAAAATGACTAATTTACTGGAAATTAGAAGATCTATGCATATTTCCCAAAAACTTTTCAGATTCTGGAATTTTACTTAAATCAGCATCCAGAGAAAACCTTTGCTATTAAACGGTGCACGTTGGAAGGCTTTTGTTTAAAAATGTCTCAGTTATTGAAATGTTTTCTACATTTTGAAGAGGTGAGTTCAAGAGGTGTAGTCTGTCAGGTCTGTTAAATTGTGTGCATGTCCCACATACACAATTTATGCTGACTGCAAAATTAGTAAATTAAAATACATAAATTGTACCTGCTGTGGAATTTTGAAGCTATGTGGAAAGTACTTGTGATGTTTTTCAGAGGTGTGTGAGAGGCAGGGCTGAGTCACACTGGTAGACACCACATTCCTGGTTTCTTGTTTGTTTCTTTGGGTTTCTGAGGGAGAGAAAACACTCCTGGTTCTCAATCTTCGTGACTCTCTGATCACTGATGGGTTTAACCGTGGTACTCTCAGGCTCTTCTGGACACAGAGGCTTCATCCCATGTGTGCCCTGCATCCAGCCAGAGCTGCCCTGAGTAAAGAGGAACAATGCTGATATTCAGTTTCATAGGCCTACCATCAGCCCAGGCACAACTTGAAGACCCATCATTTACTCACTTCCTTTTTGAGACTAATCCAGCAGGAAGAATTAAACCACACAAGCAGCAGAAAGAAATCACAGATATAAGAAAATGTCAGGGAAATCTGGCAGCAGCAATGATTACTTGTTTCTTTATGGAAGCTAGTCTTGCTGTTGAAACCAACACAAGTTTATATTTTTTTAAATACTGATATATTAATAGATTCAACTATTATAATTTTTATGTGCATAAGAAATGCCACCTTTTTGAAAATGAATGCTGTTTTTGAAATGCTATTTTTGAAAAATAAGCATAGAATTGGCAAGATCAACATTTACTTTTATCAGTGTGTAGTTACAATAAGCAGATTAAACTGGCCAGCTGCCTCTACTACAATATTTGTTTCCATTTAATTTTTATAGTATTAGCTAACCTTGTTTGCTAAATAAGTACCATTTAGTTTAATCTCATGTAGTAGACTGGGAAGCTAAAATGCAGTGTTTTCAACAACAGAAATTTGAATCTTGAGACTAATAAAGGGAGAGGAAGGCCTCCTTACAAATAGTTTGGATTTTAAATAGATCATTTTGATTTGGGAGGTGAAATGGAACACATCACACCCATACCTCTTCCAGGAGCGAAAAGTGCTGCCCAACTGCAAGAAAAATATCAGGGGGTGGGGATGATACTTTTTTTTGTAACAAAATGAAAACTGTGATTTAAAACCAAGCACCAAACTAAATTCTGGAAGCAGACAGAATCAAAACCAGCGCTAAACACCTACAGAGGGCTCAGTTTGTCCAACAATAAAACCTCCCAAACTTTGTCTCTTGTACTGCCTGTGAACACAGATCCTTTCACACCAGTGCCAGCTGCAGTGTAAAACTACCCTAGGTTATAATCCTACTGTGCTGACAATTTTATGTTCAAGCAGGTGCTGTAGAATTTTTTCCCAGCTGCTATCACTCTTATTACCCAGCTTTTTTATTTTTCCAGTGGAAAAGTAGCAAATTCTAGTAACGGGCAGGGAAGGAAAAGCCAGAAAGAGATAATGAAACCAGAAAGAGATAATTTGTGTCAGCCAAGGCATCATGTGGGAAAAGCAGGAGCTCCCAACTATGATTAGTTTGTGACTAAATTACTTTCGTTATATACACCCCTGTGACTGGAATATATTATTTTTTCACTTTGAAGGGCTGTCACCCAGCAGTGAAAATTTGCAAAAGGATTCCTGCTTTTCCTGAAGAATTAATGCTCAGCCTGAGAGTGCTTCTCACTGGCAGCAAAACTTCAGGAGCCACACTGAGATCAGCCAAGGAATATGAAAATGCAAACTCAAAAGTTGGGCTGACTCCACCTAAGGAATTGCACTCTGAGTCCCGAAATGAGCAAACTCGCAGAATGATGGAATCAGTTAGGTTGGAAATGAGCTCTGAGGTCATCACGTCCAGCCCATGATGAACAGCACCTTGCCACTCAGACCATGTCACTGAGTGCCACTTCCAGTCTTTCCTCAAACACCTCCCTGGACAGCTCCTTCTGCCCTCTCATGCAGGTGTCGCTGGTCACCTGGGAGATCCCTGGGTACCAAATTCTTTCATAGCAGCCCTAGACGGGGTGCTCAGGCGGCAGCAGGAGTCAACGTTGTTTTTAAACCACAGCGAGCAGCCTGTGGGTGAGGGAGAAGTAAATTCGGGATAGGAAACGATCACAACAGTTGTTATGCTGGCAAAATTCCTTATTTACGAGGGGCTTGTAGCTGCAGCTGGACACCAGCCCAGGGGTGGCCAGGTGGCCAAGAGGCCGATGGCCCCTGGGCTGTGGCAGCCGTGGGGCGGCAGCAGGAGCAGGGCAGTGCCCGTCCCTGTGCTGCCACTGCTGAGGCCACAGCTCGAGTGCCGTGTCCAGCTCTGGGCCCCTCAGCACAGGGAATTGAGGGGCTGCAGCGTGCCCAGAGAAGGGAACGGAGCTGGGAAGGGGCTGGAGCCCCAGCAGGGGCTGAGGGAGCTGGGAAAGGGGCTCAGCCTGGAGAAAAGGAGGCTCAGGGGGCCCTTGTGGCTCTGCACAAGTCCCTACCAGGAGGGGACAGCCGGGGGGTCGGGCTCCGCTCCCAAGGAACAAGGGCAAGAGGAAATGAAGCTGCGCCGGGGGGAGGTGGGGGGGTGGGAGTTAGGCTGGACATCAGCAGGAATTTCTTCATAGAACGGGCTGCTCAGGGACGTGCTGCAGTCCATCCCCGGAGGCGCTTAAGGAAAGCCTAAACGCGGCGCTCAGTGCCATGCTCTTGTTGACAGGGTGGTGTCCGGGCATACCCTAGGCTCGATCATCCCCACCTGATTTATCCCGTGGTTTTGTAATTTATAGGCACACCGCAAACGANATGGAGCTCTGAACGATCTGCTGTAGTCAGTGGCATCCCTGCCTCTGGCTGGGGACTTGGGACCAGACGGGCTTTAGAGTCCATTCCATTTAACATTCTGTGATTCCATGACTGCTCCCTGCACGGACAGGGTGCTGTCTTTAAGGCTCAGGCTGCTTGGGAGTGAAAAACAGAGCTTTTCTGAAACAGATTAACTTCATTATATTACATCACTCACTAGGTAATACATGGAGCGTACCTTAAACCAAAGAGAACTGTAATTTCTGTGTGCCTTTCTGGATGTTCAGGTGTTACAAAAAGTAGAATTTGTGTCCACACATCCCCCAGCTTGACGGCTTTAGGGCACAGTGCCAAGATCCCCGTTCTTGCAGTGAACTGATTTTGAGACACTAGATTTTGCTTCTTAAGCATTCAGCTCGATTTGCTTGTTTATTTGGTTCCTTGTTTGTGTTTACCTTCAATTTGATTTCTGTGACTGCTGCAGTTTTAGCCATTCACCCTTTAGTCTTGGAATCACAAGGTGTGTCAATATTGGGTGGGGAAGAAACACCCAGAGTTGTTATTCTTCCTCTGCTAGTGTGTCTTCAGTGCCCTCTCAACCCTGATTTTTCATGATGAAAAAGATACTTCATGTCTCCAGCGTCTGCAGACAGCTCTGATATCTTCTGGACTCTGTTATTTAAAAAAACTGAAACTGTGAGCTTCTAATTAGTGAGACTGGTTGCTCTTGAGGTTACCTCTTGGTGCCTTATGAAGGTCTTAAATCAAAGTGGTCATTGACAGTGATAGGGAAAGCCAGGTGTAGCTGCAGACAGGCACCAACATTACTTGACTCTAAGGTCAGGCCAGGAATTTCCATCTCTTAGTGATTCTATTGAGGAAGACACACCCTTGTGTCAGCTTCTCACCAGACTTCATGTGTGGGGTTGGGATCTATGGCTGGAACCAGGGCATTAGTAATGTGGACATGGGCATCTGCATATTCTGTCTTGGATTTGCCTGTGATGGGATACTTGGCAAAAACCTGATGTTTTGCTGGGGGCAGGGTGTTGATTGCCAATAACTCCTGGATGGTCTAGTAAAACACTTAATGCTGTTTGAGGCTCCTGGATTCCACTTGTTTGTGGCTCTTTGGTGCTTGGTGCCAGACCTCAGGATGGGCGTGCAGTTTCTTAGTCCTCTTTGTGTGTTGTTAAGATGGATATCTCTGGGATATCTAAGCTTATCTGTAATTCTATTTGCAAAGTCTTAAAAAGGAGCAAAGGGGTTTTTCACTTGAACTGGAGCACACTCCTCCATGGCTTCTTAAAGCTTTTAAGTCACATTATAACCTGGCAAAAAATACTCTTAGAAACACTTCTCACAAGTGTGCATAGGAGTGCTGTAAAGGTTTACAAGGTAAGATGAGAATGTGTGCTCTCAACAGAATTTTCCTTGCCCTCTCTGAAAGCTGAACTGCAGTGTGATCTATGTGCTGGCTTTAGTTTAAATGTATATAGTAGTTTGCATCGAACAGAGCCACTGGGGGAAAGAAAAAAGAAGAAGAAAAAAAAAAAAAGAGTAGTTTCCTGGCATGTTTGGTTTCTGTGGTTTAGGTATTCTGGTAGCCATGTCATAACACTCAAATTAGTGTTCCTTATAGAGCCAGTGGAGATAAATATGAGGAGAAATGGCTCTCAAAGTGTTCTGGGTCTGTGAAGATGATTTTCCACTTAGTTATCTGAAGCTGGGCAGTATAATTCATAGTCTAGCTGGTTTTTTGTGCTATTTGAATATTTTTGCAGGTGTTATTCTTGTGCAACTCTGCTTTCTCTGGTTAGCATGGCATCCTTCTTAATTGCTTGATTCATTTTACTCCAGTCATCTTACAGTCACTCTTCGAGTTTCACATCAAGCTCATGCTTCTAGTTGCTCTCCAAGTGCTGTAGGACTTCTTTTATTTCTTTAGAAAAATTAAAGATCAGGTCACCTATTTGTTGGATTTGCTGACTTCAGTGCCGTCTACATGTTGTGATGCGCCAAAAAGCTTGCTCTCTTCATACTTCTAATCCCTCAGGAGAAATTTTATTTGTTTCTTCAGCTGTTGCATGACTTGTTGCATGCTCTCCTTCTAGAGTGCTTTCCAATGCAGTGGATTCTGCTGTGGCTAAAATAGGAAGGTTTCCCTTGATACTTCAAATCCCTAAAGTAGTAGGGGGGAAAACAAGTGAGGCTGAAGAAAACCAGCTTCCCTATTTCTGTTCTGGGGAGGGGATGGGAAAGTGATACTCCTTGTTGTGTAAGTAGGAAGCTAGTGATGGACAGAATGGAGATAAGGGGGGGAAAAAAATCTCTGTATTTCAAGACTTGGGGAAAAAAAAACCCCACGTAATTTGAGTTTAGGTGTATAGAATTTTTAGAGCTCTTGGGAGGTGGAGAAGAGGCAGATCTCTGTTCTGTAGTTTGAGAAAAAATTGAGAGCCCATAGCAATTTCACAGTATTTCCAGTTTATTTTCTCATTAGTGATTAGGCAAGACTTTCCTGTATGCTTAGCCATTGGTGGTGGCTGTTGTAGAGACTCTACTTCAGTCCCTCAAATAAGTAGTGTAGTTAATTGTGGCTGCTACAATTTTGCAGTCAAGGCCTGGGGAAGACACCAGCAGTAGCTCCACGGAAAAAAATGTCTGAGCATGTTGATTTCCAGCTGCTGGGCTTGCTGGTGAACAATAAAGGTGAAAGGAGGTAGTGGGATCACAAAGACTCAAAATGTGTGATGATGCAATTAGCAACAAATTGTTCTGTTAATTATTAATAAAATTGTTAAATTATCCTGTTATTTTTAGATAGAGTGCATGCACTTCCTAGAGCAGAGCAGCGTTGCCTTGGCTGGGAGTTTAGATTGCTGTAAATTCCATATTTCTTGAGAAAAGGGTTAAATAGACAAGGCACACAAATCAGTGAAAGATGTGATCCTCGGGCAGGTCATAATGCCATCATTTAAGCAGCAGGTCCCAAGTGCTCCAGCACATCCTGCAAGACTGGAGAAAGCTGCTTTTGAGGGGAAATGTGTCATGGGTTCATCATTTCCCCAAGTGCACACCAGGGAGAACTGCTGAGCCGAGATGGTTGGGGGGAAAAAGCATCCTGTGTCACTGGGGCAGTCGACTTGACAAGGGTGCACATTGTGGAGTTTGGCACAGCTGTGTCACCAAGTCCTGCTGAACAAGGGCTGCTCAGAAAGCCAAGGCTGGCTGTTGTGTTGTGTGGCTCTGCTGGTGGGTCAGGTTTCAGCATAGTTTTCCACTGGTGGAAGTGGTTTCCAAGATGTAGCAAATTTATTTCAAGGGATGTTTGTGATGGGGGGTTAATTAAAGCGGGTCAAAAATCCCTGGCTGGACTTGTCCACGTTCTGGTTGGTCGTGTGAGGAAATTGTGTTCTTTAGGAGGCATAAGCTGGTGTTAACACTAGTTCATTTAGGAAAACCCATTGTTTACATTTGTCTTTGGCAGGCTGAGGTTTCACTGTGGCTCTTTGCCAGTGCTGGGGGACATCTGCTCTCCTGGAAGAGGAGACAACATGATCAAAGTAGCTTCGAAGGAAATTGTATGTTTTATTGGAGAAGTTGGTAAAGGACTTAATCTTCCTTTATTATCTTCAGGTGTTTTGTAGAGTGCGAGCATTAATAGCAAATGTAATTGTGACAAGGAACTAGACTTTAATTTTAAATATCAAATAGATAATTTACCTGTTTGTCTGGCTTTGAATCTCCAATTGGCCTTCCTTCCCATCTGCACTCTGAAGTGCCTTTCTGCACTGAGATTAGGCAGTAAAATAAATATCAGGAACAGCTTCCCATCAGCCTGTGCCTTGAATTATGGGCAAGTGTGTGGCACTGCAGCTGAGCAACTGCACAGAGCCATGTGGTCTTGGTGCAGGCAAAGATGTGACACCTGTATCAGGGTTTTCCAGGGTGCTGTGAGGAGCTGGGCAGGAAGTGTGGAAAGGAAGCTGACTTGAAATTTTTTGAGGCATGTTTTTGTTACTGTAGGTGATCTTGAAAAGCGAGCCAAAGATCGGAGTCTGGGGAGCTCCAGAGCTTTAATCTGAAATCTGTCGCTGTTTTGATGTGTACCATAGAGCACCCAGAGGGGGAAGGGGTGGGGTGATTCACTTGTTGCAAAATAGTTCAAGCCGCTGAAATACAAGAATTTGTATTCTCAAGTAAGCAGGTCTTCTGTGCAGTGTAGGACACAAATGCTTGGTCTCAAATATGTGAGCATGCAATGATGACAGGGTAGTGGGCAGTGGTTTGATACGTGTAGGTTCTGCTTAGAAATGGGGTTATAGTCATGGGATTCACACAGATGACCATGAACTTCAGACTGGATTTGTGACTTTTCAAGCAGGGTCACAGCTGAGCAGTATGTGACCAGAGATGGTATGTTGGTGTTGGTTTCAAACACTTTAATAAATAAATTTTAAATAAAATGGGTGACGTGAGACAAGTTGAAACCACTTTACAGATATTTATTTACAGGACAGCCAAACTCATCCAGTTACTCTTATTTTCACGTTGGACTCTATTCCAAAGTTTGAATGCTTTTAGCTGCCTCTTATGTTATTTTAAGGCACTTTGTTGCAAAATACAGCCTTAGCATTTTGTCTGCCACAGGGGAAGAATGTGGGAAACTAACTGCTAGCTAAATAATGCATAGAAGATTTGTGGCTGTAGTTGGGTTTTTTTTTATTATTTTCATATTTCTCTACAACTGGAGTAGAAAACCAGCCCACTACGCAGTAAATGTAATTTTATATGGGTCTAAATATAGGTTGCAATATCAGGAATTACAACACCTGTGTATCTATGTCATGACTTGGCAGAAAGCCAATGATGTTCTAGGAGGGTTTGATTAATGTTGGTAATGCTTAGCTTTGTGATCAGACTCTTAAGTAGGGGCAGAAAAGAGTGGGTGAGGTGTGGGAGGTGAGAAGAATCTGTTTTAGGCTGGTGG